TAAGTTAGCTATCGAAAAAAAGTCATCTTTGTATTTTCGTAAACATTCTATCTATGCTAGTAATATTCCGCTTTACAATTCGTTGGGTTTTCCCTTTAGAATTTTAAAATTAAATGAAACCTGTTATAAAATTTAAACCGTGGTTAATTTATTTAAAATGCAATAAAAGATAATATTGTTGAAGATAACAATCCTTGCTACATGCGGAATTTATGCTTCAATAACAATTTACATCTGTGATTACAAATTTTGTTTCGACTGATGACAAGAATTACGGCAATCGATACTTCTATTTTTAATTTTAAAACTTATTTTTAATGCGACATGTCTTAGTTTATATTATATTTTATAACCGTCGTTGAACAGCCGACCGAATATTTGGGTTTACGACTACCAATGTTCAACTCCGTATCCTTGTAGTTTTGAACCCAATCCAGAAGACAAGGAAACTCCTGGATAAAGTATTGGGAGAGATTTGCCTTCGTGGAGGACTTTCTGGTGGAACTAACCCTCATTTGCGTTTCATGTAGAGGAAGACCGCGAGAATCTCCCGCGGTTAGCCTGGCTGCAAGGGGACTCTAACCCATGATCCGTCAACCACTGAGGATATATCACGTCAGCATTTTGGTCAGTGCAAGCCGGATGCGAAATTCGTATCGNGTTAGCCTGATGGCAAGGTAACTCTTACCCATGATCCGTCAACCACTGAGGATATTTCACGTCAGCACTGTGGTCAGTGCAAGTCGGATGCGAAATTCGTATCAACCAGGGTCGAACAGGGTTCACCTTATTGAAAGGCGAACGCTCTATCCCCTGAGCCATCGCGGCTCAATGTAACATGTCTGTAATTTTCCTCACGTTGCTTGCAAAAAACTGTAAATAAAATGCTTGTTGATGTAGTATAAACAAATTGGGTTTCACAATTAATCCCACACATTTATTTTAAGAGTTACAAAAGTTGTCTTATATTATAGTAATCTTTATAATATGTAGGATATTTTTGTTTAAAATTTTATCATTTTAAGCATAAAGCTTTTGCTTATAGTGATTTTTTTTCATTTGGATCTTAAAAAGTTTAAATAAAAAAAATTAATAAGTTATCGTTTGTTTTTGAAAAAATTATCTAAACTTGATAAAGAAAATTATTTTATGACTTTCGAAAAAATATGAACTAACAAAATAAATGTCAAAAATAAATTAAAAAATACATTATTTATACGATATTAAAGTTCATAATTAATAATAACTAATTAATTGTAATTTAGTTTAATTTAATAGTACATAGCATAGTCAGTAATAAAAGAGAGAGAAAAACAAAGCAAAATAAACATTTTTTTTTATTCTTGAAGTCAAAGAAATATCTTGATAATAGAGAAAGCTAAATTGAATAGGAATAAATCAATTTACCCTGTTACTCCAAATACAGATCAATTTAAATGACATAAAAAAAAGGAAAATTATTTCGTCTGTTATTGTTATAGACCAATTACAACAACAATTTCAGTTGTCAAAACTTTTTAAGCCATTGAAAACTGCAATAATAGAGTTTCCTCGTTCAATTGAATGTAAATAATTGCAACGAATTTTACCGTTGAACATTTAAAACAGCTTTTTACATTATATTTAAAATATTTTTGAAAGCTTTGGTAACCCACTTTTCAATTTTAAATTGTAACTGTCAATTCCTTAAGAAACCATTCATTATTAAAAGAAGGCTTGAGGAACACACCCGAGTTCTAACATCACCTTTTGCTCTTATTATATCCGGCCTGCGGAAATCTTTTCGCACTCTTCCTAAAACCGGTTAGTAGGGATTATATACTTTATGTCGGGATGTCCCGTTAGGAAGCCCCAAAACAAATACTTTCGTTTCATAGCGGAACTGAAAAACAATTTTCTTCTTTTTCGCATTCTATGTAGGAGAAAAAAACTAATCGCTTCTTTCCGCTCTACTCAGATCTTTAAAATCTCAATAATCAAATCCATCGGCCTTTTTAGGTAATTCATTGAGGCTCGCATAAATCCACGTGACGTGATTGCTTTTATTTAATTTAAAAAAATTTATTATGAATATGGAAAGATAACTTATCATTTTTTATCTTTATTAATTAATTAGTTAAATAATTTTATTAATTATTGTTATACACTAATGATTAGCAATATTTTAAATATCATAAGTTTTAGGGTTTTATCTGCAGTCAAAATTATAAATAAATTACAGTTTAATACACTATGTCATAAAAGATTAAAGCTAACAATTGATTGATTTATGTTAATTTCTTTTTTCTTAGCGGAATTTTTTTTTTTAAAAAAAAGCAATTTTCTTCCTTTTTTTGTATAGATTTTCTTCGTTTTTTTCTTCTTTTTTTTGGAATTGATAAACAATTTTCTTCTTTTTCGCATACTATGTAGGAGAAAAAAAATAATCGCTTCTCTCCGCTCAACTCAGATGCTTAAAATCTCAATAATCAAATCCATCAGTCTTTGTAGGTAATTCATTGAGGGTCGTATAAATCCACCTGATGAGGTTGCTGTTATTTAATTTAAAAAAAAATTAAATAATTATTAATATGGAAAGTTAACTTATAATTTTTATCTTTATTAATTAATTGATTAAATAATTTTATTAATTAATTATTTTATTATTAATCAAATATTTTTAATTTTGATTGATTTATGTTAATTTCTTTTTTCTTAGCGGAATTAAAAAACAATTTTCTTCCTTTTTTTTTGTATAACTCAACTTCGTATATAATAAACTTCATATCTCAGAAAAATATTATTTTGCTAGGGAAGCGAGAGACAATTTTAAATCTCGTATATAATAAACTTGATATCTCAGACAAATGTTATATGGCTAGGGTACCGAGAGACAATTTTAAATGTATATAATAAACTTCATATCTCGGGCGAATATTATTTGGCTACAGTTCCAAGAGACAATTTTAAATATCGTATGTAATAAACTCCATACCTGAAACGAATATTATTTGGCTTATTGGTACCGAGAGACAATTTTAAACCTCGCTTATGATTAACTTCATATCCCAGACAAATGTTATATGGCTAGGGTACCGAGATACAATTTTAAATTTTATATATAAGAAACTTTATACCGCATATCGTATATAAAATTTAATATAGGAGTTCATCATATGGATCATATAATGAACTCATACCGTATATAATAAACTTCATAGTTTAGACCAATGTTATATGGTTAGGGTACCGTGAGACAATTTTAAATCTCGTATAAAATTAAAAAAATTATCGCAGACAAATGCTATATAGCTAGGTTACCGAGAAACGATCTTAGATATCAGATATAATAAATTTTATACCTCAGACGAATATTATTTGATTAGGGTACAGATGGACAATTTTAAATATTGTATATAATAAACGTCATACCTCAGAAAATTACTAATTGGCTAGGGTACCGATAGACTTTTTTAAATATTATATATAATAAACGTCATACCTCAGAAAATTATTAATTGGTTAGGGTACCGTGAGACAATTTTAAATCTCGTATAAAAAAAATTTTTATCGCAGAAAAATGTTATATGGCCAGGGTACCGAGAAACAATTTTAAATCTCAGATGTAATAAATTTTATATCTCAGACGAATATTATTTGGTTAGGGTACCGATAGACAATTTTAAATATTGCGTATAATAAACGTCATACCTCAGAAAAATATTAATTGGCTAAGGTAGAAGGAGACAATTTGAAACCGTTGTCACAACTTGCTAAAATTTGTGAACCCCGTGGTTAAATAAATAAAACGTACAATGATTTATGAATTTCAAAACTAGGAAACGAATCTTTTAATTATCAAAACATAGAACTTATAAAACTTCTTCTTTCATCTGTGACAGTTTATTTTCTCAACAGCTGACTGTTAGTGACCCGTATCTAGTATAGATGTTTTTCTTTTAATGTCGTTCCAGAGCAGGATGTTTTAAGCCTCACTTGCCTTCCAGATATAGGGGCTTTTTACAAAAACAAACCCAAAACAAGCCTCTCATTGTTATCTTTTGTACCATCTGTTATCAAATGATGGTATTTGTAATTTTTTTTTTTTTTTAGATTATGTAAGAGAAAGAGGCACAGTGATTCACAGATTAATGTTTTCAAATTTTCGCGATGAAAAACAGAAATCAATATGCATTAAAATATTCCTAAATGTTTATTTTAACAGTTAAATATATATTAACAAGTTTCTAATAGTTTTCAAAAGAATCACCTCATGTATTTGAATCTCTGTTACAATAATGTTAAAAAAAAGTCATCTTTAAGAAACATTTTCTAATCATTATACCAGAAGAAAAAGAACGGACACAGGTTTGGTCATTTTTTATAAAAATAAATATGTACTTTGAGATTTTAAAAAAAAATTATTTATAGGGTACGTTAAGAGGAGTTAAAAAAGAACATTCAAAATGGCATCTTAGTTTTGTTCCTAAAAGCTCTCATTAAATAAATATACAGAAAGTATAAAGAAATATTTAGGTTTATTGGAGCAGTAGTTTTAACAAAAGTGTTCCACTTGTGTTGAAATTTAGTTTCAAGATAATATAACTAAACCATTCTGGTAGCAAGTAATATAAAAATTATTTAAAATTAAAAAAAAAAATTTAAAGCAACTAAAATAAAATAAAATAATTTAAAATTATTATAATCTGAATCTTATGAAGAGAAAGAAAATTTGAGTAATTTTAGTGATTATTGATTGAAAAACCTGAAGTGATTCTTTAATGAAACTCATATTTCAGAATAATAATAACACTGTTTTTTCCATAACTTATTTTTTCTAGAAATATTAATATTTTTACGATGCTATTATTTATTATCCCATATCTAATTATTTTAATAATATGCGAAATCATTTTAGTGCAATAAAAACAAGTTAAGTTGTAGATTTCCAAGACTTTACATACCTAGTTTTTTTATACAATCATACTACATATCTCATAAAGAATTTCAAACTAACTTACCTACTACTGCCTGTATAATAAACCAATCATGCAATGGCAATCAAACTTTATGATACATTAAATGTATCATTCCTCGTGATAACTTAATATCACAATCTTATTAATATGTATCTAAACACAAGATTGTAGCTTTTTAATTATTCTTGGCACTTTCTCTTATTGAAAAAAATTTTAATAACGCAGATTAATGAGGAATATTATCCATATTTTACATAATTGTATAAATAATCCCTTTTGAAAACATACATTCTTCAGTAGTATCGATCATTTAAATACAGCTGTAAGATTAATAAATTTGACATAATTTCTCATATCTATGCTTATATAACTTCTAATAAGCACTTATATTTTTCTTCATATATTCTTTATATGATATTTCACTTTTTCTGTAACGATGTTTTTGATTTATTTTTGCGCGGATTTACTCATCAATGCCACGATTCAGAATATAATCTATGCATAACAGTCAAGTGCTATTTTATTTCTCTTCAAACTTCTCAAGCTAGTATGTAATCCAATGAAATTTCATTCTAAATTACCTGTAAAAAGAAAAAAGAAAATATTAGTAAATGAAATTTTTGTAAAAAATATGCTTTCATAGAGTCAAACAAATTCTAACAAATATCAACTTTATAAAAAAATTTAAATAACTATATTTGATAATGTTACTTTATCTTATTTCATACATTATCCAATTTCATCTAGTGAAAATCATCATTAAAAAAAATTTTGCCATTAAACTTTAAAATTCACTTCTAATTGCACAAGATTATTTTTTGAAGGAAGCATTATAAACTAATTCTATATTATTTCGAAATTAGTTTGCGTTAACTATGAAAGATAGTTTCATGATGTTTATTATAAATTAAAAACATTAATAGGAAAAGGTATTGAAATTTTTTTAAAGCGTATATGTTTTTCTTTTATTTTTAAACAAAGTGTGTCAATAATATTTCAGGAAATCTACTCAAATGAAAATATTTCACCCTCCATCATTGAGTATGCAATATAAAACCATCTATTTCACATAATTTGAAATATGGTGTCAATTTATTTTTATTATGTTTTTATCAAATTATGCCATTATGTTTTCAATTTCACTTAGTCACCACAATTACTTAGATAGTAATGACTCATAAACATTTGTAAAATATATCTAAACTGGAGGAATCTAATTCAATGTGGCAATTATGTTAAATTTTGCTTTAAATGTTATGTTAAATGGAATGTTAAATTTTACCATAAATATAATATGATTAGGCATTCCGCACATGCATATTAACTTTATTTGACAAAATAGAAAGATTGCTACGAAGGAAATAATTAGGAACTTTTAAAGTTTTAAAAGAAATAATAGTGTTTAAAAATGTAAAATATATACAATTTTGGAGTATAGTTGTCACCATTTTTGGTGTTAAGATAAACTAAATAAATTAAGTACTTAACTGTAATCATCGTGCAAAAAATTAGTTCAAATAATTAATTATTAAATGATTTAGTGCAATTATTAATCATTAATTGAATTAATGCAAATATATTACTATAAATATGCTTGTTTTTTAAACAAATTGCTTTTTGCAATGAAGCCATCAATTGATTCTAATGCGCATATGTTGACGGTAAACAAATAAACAAAAAAAACAATAAACAAGTAAAATTATGACAGTAAAAAAGTAAAATAAATGTGATTCCATGCACTGTAAAAAAATTAGTTTACTTCATCATCAAAAATAGTGACAATAGTTTACAATGTATTTTTAAGGTGAATTAAAATTCAGATTTTATAAAATAACAAGAGTAAAGTAAGACTTATTTAAAAAAAAAACTTAAAACAATGTTCACACAAAAATAAGTATTTTGACTATATGCTAGTTAAAAAAATTATTCATATACATTAATTATATGTTCATATGTTGAATAATAATTTTAAGAATAAAATGAAATTGCACATACCTGAAATTAATAAGTGTACTCCAACATGAAGATCTTTTTTCTTAATAGTAATTTCTATGCTCACCGTTATACAGTCAATCATCTTTTCCTCAAGAGATTTCTCCAAAAAATATGTCCAGTAGTAAATCAAAGACATGTTAAATTAACTTTAATGACAAGCATTATATTTTCCAAGCAAAAATTCATAACACAAGGAAAAAGGTACGTCAAAGATAGAAATATGATCGAATTCAACTTACTTTCGATCGATATTTTATTTTACTTTAAGGAACATTTGAAGTCATCAATTGAGCATCATCATACTTAAATTTCCATTTAATTCTTATATAAGGTGACTAAAGATTAAATTACTTATCATACGTGCTTTTTACCATCGTTATAAAAATGTAATGACGTTTAAATTACTTTACAATTTACTCTTTAAATGATTGCAAATAGCAATATAATTAGTAAATTGTACATAAAAACTATTTTTTTCTAATGCTACAAATGTGACTAAGGAAATTTAAAACTAGTTTTAGGATTTTTTTTTATTTATGTGTTTATTTATTTATCTATCTATTTATTTAATCATTTTATTTATTTATTTATTTATTTATTCATTCATTTATTTATTCGTTTAACCAATTTATTTATTTATTTATCTATTTATTTATTACAAAAACGCTTGCGTGATTTTAATGTATTAGCTTTTCATATTAAACTAATAGCTATAACTTTTTTGCCACTAATTATTACTAGGATGTATTATTAAAAAATTTTATACTAAAAATACAAAAGACATAATTTTGAATCAGGTTTGTGGTTTTTCAGTTAATAGGTATTAATTCAATACTACCTGCAATTCAATTCCAACAAATATCAAAAGATTAAAAATTTAATTTTTAAAATATTTAATATTACATCTCGATAGTGCAAGCTTTTTAGAGATAAATTGTAAAATTACACTGGAGAATAATTTTTTTTCTGTTACACGAGATTTTGTTAACAGGTCTTAGATAATCTTCTGCATCGATGGGATTTCATATCTGCTATTGGTTTCTATCTCTAATTTCTATTGTTTATTTTTTATGTCAAAATGTGTAAATTTGAAAATGTGATATATAACAGGGGGTCACATAAATGTTGCAATAAACTTATAGGGGAGTTAGAGTACAGCATCAGGATTAAAATTGCATAGGAATCCATGCTTGAAAATGTCATCATACGCGGCTAGGTATGCTTCCCTATTAAGACCTGCAAAGAAATACACAAAGAAACAGTTCATAATAGGGAAACTCCCGTGTATGACGACATTTCCGAGCATGAGTTTCTGTGAGATTTCTGATAATCCTGATGACGTGCTGTAACTCCTCTAGAAGTATGTCGCAATTTTTAAGCGACGTCCTGTTTTAAATAACGTTTTTTTTTAAACTTTTACATTTCGATAACAAAAATAGACTAAAAATGTCATTTTTAAAAAAATCATGTAGCTTTAAGAGCAAAACTAATTTCATATTTGAAATCCCACACCCGAATTAGGCAATATCAAGTGTTTACATAAATGCAACAAAAATTTTTTTACCCTGTGTTGTTAGTAGATACCTATTTATTTTTGAAATCGTCGTAATAATTATTCCCAATCATAAACTTTTTTTATTTCGCAAATTTTCTTTACTATTTACTTTAATGCAAAATCAAAGTGACAAATTCTTTTAAAAAAGCGTGATCAATAGTTAAGACTGGGATCAACAGTTAATTGATGAAATTGTCACCATACATTTAGTATATTTAGCTAAAACCTTAAGATGGTCACTATAATGCGATTTAACTAAAAACGCCGACTGGATAAAATGTCATCATCATCATAGTTGGCCAGACAGCCCAATGTGAGCCAATGCCTTCCTCTGAAGATTTCTCCATGACGACTTCCGATTTATCTTTGATCTCCAATTCTTTTCATTAATGCGAGAAAATCAGACTCCGCTGAGTCAGCCCATCTCAACCATGGCCTTCCCCGCTTTTTTTTTCAGTGGGTCTAAAAAGCAGTATCTTTCTAGTGGATAAAATGTACCACACATTCTAGTGGATAAAATGTAATGAATGTAGTAAAATGTAATGTTCTTAAGTCAAGAGAATTGACTTAAAAACATATAAAGAATCATTAATTACCATCAACATTATACTAGGAAATTTTCATAAACACCAATAGAATTAAAATGGCATATAATAAATGCAACAAGGATGTTGAAATTAAAATCTCGATTCAAACAAAGAAAACTCCCCAACCCAAATCCTTAAGTATTTACAGACATTTCAAATGATTCACAACCTCATGAATATTTACACCACAACATGATCGATTAAGTAAAATCAACTCACCTTAAAGTTACAGTTATACGTTCCCATCAATACAATTTACGATGCTGAAATTACAAGCAAGTGAACCATGAAAAGGAATGTAATTACCACTTACCTTTCATGCAATCTTCAAAAGGTTTTCTTAAGGTTAACCTGTGTCCGAGCGATAATATTTTTCCATGCGCCTCACGTTTTTAGATAAAAATCATTCTAACTGTTGAATATGTTGATTTTATAATGCGCTATTCAGATAGAAGACAAAGAAAGATGACAAGATACTTTTAATTTTTATGAGAATTTATGTTATTGTTTTTCTTTAGAGGAATTAAATGAATTGAATTAAATGAATTGAATCATATGAAAGTTTTCTGGGAGCTGTTTTTCTTCACGATAAGAAATCTCTAAAGTTTTTCAAAAGAAATTTAAAATTAATTTTCAATTTTATTATTTCTGTGAATAATTGGTTACACAAATACGCCAAAAAAATTTAAATAAAATTACCGTCTGTATGGTAATGACGTTTCAGGTAAAAATCATGATTCTGGTAATAAAAACCAAAATATACGGCATTTAAAACATTTATTCGGTAAATTTACCGTTCATATGGTAACGGTTTACTGGAAATTCTGTTTTTTTTTTTTTTTTTTTTTTTTTTTATTTTTTTTTTTTANAAATATATTTTTTGTCTTTTTTTTTTTTTTTTTTCAAAATTATAGTTTTTATTATCACACATATAATAAAAAAAAGAAAACTGCAAAGTGAGTTAAACCAAATAAATGGTGCTTATGCCTTTTTCTAAGGCATCTTGAAAAAATTGCCTTATTTTATTATATATTATAAAGCTTTATTTTCTTGTTAATTTTACCAAAAGCATTTTAAAAGCAATTCGTCAAAAAATACCGATATTTGGTTGTATCCATAGAGCTAAAAACACAGTAAATTCTACCATATTCAGGTAGTTTTGGACATATATTTTTCTCAATATAAATCCACTAAGTTGATACTTGTTGAAAAAATAGAAGAATATCTTTCATATATTTTAAATAACGCCCATCATGCATGTACAACGTCACTAATTTTGTCACTCCTTTAAAACACAATAACATAAAAAAAAAAAGATTGTAAAGACTACCCATTTTATTCTTATCTAATTAAGTGGCAAAGTGACAAAAACTCATTAAGTAAAGCGATTTATGGCATTAAAACAAGTAAAACGTGCCTTTTTCCTCACCATCACATATTATAA